AACTCACATCGTATATTATTAACCTCATCGTAATCTTGGCCACGCAATCTTGACAAGCTCAACCCATGTCAGCAAATAAATTTTCTACAACTGCCTTAAGTGAGAGAGTACTAGTATTAGTAATGTTCAAAACTAAAAGGTAAGGAGTGTCAATCGTGTTGTGTCGTATCAGTTTCGTGTCGTGTCACTTTTGATCGTATTTTTTTCATGTCGTATCACTTTCGATACGTGTCGGGTTCGTGTCAATATTTGTGTTAATAAAAAATATTTAATTTGACAACAACTAAATAATACTATTAAAAAAAATTATAAAAAATTATAAAATTCGTATTTTCTATCTAAAATATTCATTAAATAATTATTTTCTATCTACAGTACCCATTAATTGTGTTATTTGTGTCGAACCTTAATTTGACTCATTTATTACTCGTGTCAACGAATCGTGTTTTTCGAGTTCGATTCGAGTCGGGTTTGTGTTCTAGTCAAAAATTGACACCCTTACTAAAAGGTGTTCAACTATGTCCTTCTTGTCCACAAATCGCAACACAAAAGTCATTTGCTCCTTTATTGATATGCCACGTGATTCATCAATAAGAACAGAAAAAGTGTATTACCAAGGTGGGTCATAATAACATTACACGTTTCAACAGATCTGTAGTTACAATGTCTTTTTGAATTTCAGACGAAGTTAACTTGAGATTCTCAAGAGCATTTATTAACCCAACAACTTTAATATCCTCATTGTGATCCCACAAGAAATCTAAGAAGCTCAAGGAAGTTTCTTTGATTACTTAAATTCTCAGATTCATTGTGACCACGAAATACAAGTCATTGCCTTAGAAGAAATCGAATACATTAATGGATGCATTCGATCAGGTTCTGTACTCACTTCTAGTTTGGTCTGACTGTTTGAAGAAAATAGCTTCAATACTTTGCTTTGGATTTAATAAATCTTGACATTTTCTCCAAGTTTGGTTATGAGAACTATTAGATTTAAAAAGATAACAACACAAACAAAATGATACATCTTTTGCTACACTATAATCAAGCCAATTACCAAACTGAGAAAACCAAGTTTTGTTAAACCGTCATAGTTTAATACCAAATTGTTTTGTGAAAAATTATGGTCACGGGATTGACAAGGACTTTTTTGTAGATAAACTCTACAAATTTGATTTCGATCATTAGGATTATAATCCATAATCTGAGACCGTAGTCCGGGATCTAATGAAAAATCCGCCAAATTAATATCTACATGACTTTTCTTTGAAAAATTACCATCTCTGTTTGGAGGAGGTGATAATTCTGGCTCAGACTTTCTCTTGAAGTACTACTCCATAATAGTTTCAAAAAATTATTAAAAAAAATGGGTTTATACATACACTTTTACAATTAATTAAATAAACTATTTTGTCAATTTTATCGCTATCATCCTAAAAAATATATTGTATTAGGAAGCAAATACAAATACAAATGCATAAAAGTATCCAATTCATAATTTTAATAAATTTAAGCAATATCATTCAAAATATTAAAAATAGGTACGGATTGAGAGTTACCACAAAATACTTTTCACTGTTGACTCAATAACCGCAACTCAAGGTCTTCAAAACATCTCCAATTAGTAATCTGGGCTATAACAAATCAAAAAAATAATTAGGATAAAATGCAAAAAAAAAATAAATTAGGGAAAAATGCATAAAAATTCAAAAAATGGCAAAATGCACAAAAATATAAATTAGAGTTAAAAATTAAAATGCACAAAAAATCAGAAAAATTACAAAGACTAATTAATTCAAAATTTTAAAAATAAAAAATTAATTTATTTTGTGTGTGTGTTATGTGCACAGACTGTGCGTCTGAGCCACTGTCCGCGTGTGTGTGTTGAGAGAGAAAGAGAGAGTATGTTTACTTTGTGTCTATGCTCGGGCGATGGTGGTCTTGCACTCCTGCTGTGTCAATGCAAGGAACGACAAAATATTGGGTCGGTGGCGGTCCTATTGTGAGAAACAAGCACTTTACTCTCTGACTCTTTGTTCTTCTTCGACTGGGCAAGCGAGAGTGTGTGAGTTAGAGAGTTTTATTTTTAAATGGTGGCCCAAAAATTTTTATTTATAAATGGCTGGGCTAAAAATTTTGTTTTTTTATAGATGGCCCAATAGTTTTGTTTTTAATATTGGACCAAAAATTTTATTTTTTTAATGTTGGGCCAAAAATTTTTGTAATAGGTTTGAGTGAATTTTAATAAGTTTAGGTAGATAATATTGGGCTCAAATATTTTTTGTTTTAATTGGGCTTAATTTTTTAATTCTTTTTGGTAAATAATGTTGACTTAATATAAATGAGGGACACACATAATATATTATATAAATATATAATATATATACCTAACTAAAATTTGAGGGGGCACTTGCCTACCTTGGCCTAGCCTTCCCTCTGCCCTTGTGTGTGTGTGTGTGTGTGTGTGTGTGTGTGTGAGAGAGAGAGAGAGAGAGAGAGAGAGAAGTTTAAGCACTCACGTGACATATTTCCAACTCGGCAACACAGTCGTTCAAAATTTTAAAAACTTAGCAACACTAATAAAAAGATTGACAGAGCACTAAACTATTGAATTCCTTTTGTCATTAGGTCAACAATTTAGAATAAATTTTTAGACTCCAATAAAACTATTCCTTATATTTTAGTAAAAAATTAGATTCTTTCAAGAATTAAAAATTTAAACTTAAGCTTCTTTCGTACGATTCAAAATCGACACTCTCTCTTTCATCTCCAATTCCCTCTTTTCCTTACATATTAAGTCATTGATTATTATCATTCAAAATTTATTTGTGAAATTGGGACGAGTTTGATAGTTATCATTTAACTGTTCTCTTTAATTTTCTCTCTTGATCAGTGCTCTCTTGATAATTGAATTTTTAATTTTTGCTCCCTCCCCATGCATTAGATATTTCAATCAAAGCAGAACACTAACACAGGACTTTATAACATATACGTACACAGCTTGTATTTTTCGTGTTCACTCCAGCACTTGTGGTGAGCAATCTTGCTAATACAATTACAGAAAGCAGCATAGTTTCTTTGTAAGTTCAGTTCTATTTAACTGTTGTGGACCATTTTTCTTCTTGTAAGTTTGCTGCCATTATTCCTTTGGATTTTGACGGCAGACTTTTGGCTCATGTGTAGGTGGTTCATGCCGGTGAATATCCTTCTCACATTTATCATTGGTTCAGCACTAGGGTGGATACTTGTAAAAGCCACTAAAACACCTCGACATTTGCTAGGACTTGTAATTGGTTGCTGTGCTGCAGGTAGATAAACATCTATATAGAGCTTCCCCTCCCCTCCCCTCCCCTCTCCTCAAATTGTTAACCTTTTATCCTTTCACCATCTAATCACTCCCAACCATATAATGGTATCTATCATGTGAACCTTCTCATCTTATGATCAGACAACTCCTAATCGTATATTGGCAGCTAAATCTTTCAAAATAAACAATGAAAACCCACTTGAGCAATTTATTGCAGCCTATGTCAGAACACAATTTCTTGACAAAGAAATGTTGAAACCGTGAATAAATGTTTTATTAGGGTAAAAAGATTTTATCCTGTCTATGTAATATCTTACTAATTCTTCAACCAAGGATTCTTTTGTTTTAATTTTCACGAATATTTTTCAGATAATACAATGTTAGGTATATCAAAAAACAAGGTCCTACACAAATCAAAATGACCAACCATGATTTGCAAAGTAAGCCCTGTAAGGGATAGAACCCTCCACTCAGGATTTCGGCTTGACCTGGGTTAACCCACGCGGGCGACCCCCCAGTAGCCTTTACCTCTCTTCGCCAATAGGACCCTTTCCTAAGGCAATCCCACATCGGAAGAGAGTCGTCTTCCCCCCTCGCATATAAGCCCTTGCACTCAAAGGAGGAGGTACCCACTAGCGACCTGATCAGGTGCCTAGTGGGTACCTCCTCCTTTGAGTGCAAGGGCTTATATGCGAGGGGGGAAGACGACTCTCTTCCGATGTGGGATTGCCTTAGGAAAGGGTCCTATTGGCGAAGAGAGGTAAAGGCTACTGGGGGGTCGCCCGCGTGGGTTAACCCAGGTCAAGCCGAAATCCTGAGTGGAGGGTTCTACCCCTTACGACCCTTTCCTAAGGCAATCCCACATCGGAAGAGAGTCGTCTTCCCCCCTCGCATATAAGCCCTTGCACTCAAAGGAGGAGGTACCCACCCAGGTCAAGCCGGAATCCTTCAAGTGGAGGGATGAGATCCGTAGCGATTTCTACCCTTACAAGCCCCATGTTCTTGGATAAGATTTCGTTGACTTTCTTAGGATACCTTTTTTTTCCACATAGTATGATAGAGAAGCAATTGCGTGCATTTTGCTAGACTACATTCAATTTTTAGCGGAAATATTCCATATTGAGGACTATTAGTGTCTATAACAGGTATATTCCTCTGATTACAGTTTAGTCATTAGATTATATTCTTTGTTTATCTGCCAACTTATGAGGCATGTTAATAGAGTTTTCAATTACAATTTTTTTGGTTTTTTTTTTGTTTTGGGGGGTGGGGTTGATGCGAACAGGAAATTTGGGGAACTTGCTTCTTATTATTATCCCAGCAGTCTGCGAGGAGAAAAATAGTCCATTTGGAGATTCATCTACTTGCTCCACAAATGGAGAGGCATATGCATCCCTTTCAATGGCGGTAATATCTGTAATTTTAGAATTGAATTTCCTTATGCTCCGTTTGGTAGGAAGGATGGAAAGAATGAGAGATACACTTTCCTTCTTTTGTGTTTGGTTGGATGGATAGAAAATAAAAATGATTATTTTTTTTAAATTTTTTTTGTGCTGGGTAAGATTAGGGGTGACAATCAAGTTGTGTCGTGTCAGATTCGTGTTGAGTCATAAAGTTATGAATTTTTCTTATTTCTTGTTCGCGTATTAGATCATTTTCAAGTTCGTGTCGAGTTATAATCAAGTTCGTGTCATAAAATTTGTGTCGAGTTCGAATCGTGTTATCGTGTTGAGTCGAAAATTTTCACTCCCAGTTAATCCATCTACTTTTTTATCCTTCCTATTTCCTTATTTATCAAACATCAAGTTTTATTTATCTTTCAAACTTTCAATCTTTTAAACTTTTCATCCTTCCATTTTTTCATCGTACCAAACGGAGCATTAGTAAATGTATTGACCTTAATTATTTATGTTTGATCATTTCAATCACTCAATTTTAATTTTTATAATCCAGATAGGGGCTGTTTACATTTGGTCTTATGTATACAACATTATGCGGGCAAAAGGAAGCAATAACAATGGCTCTGCAGTTAGCATAAAGCATTCTAATGAAACCTCAGAATCATTCTTAGAGTGTTGCACTGAAGAATTATTGCCAAATGATTTCCCATCCTCCAAGGGATATGAATCACAAGTTGAGATATCTTTCATTGGACCTGAACATAAAACGAAGGTTCTATCTTTTTTTCCCTTAGCTTGTAACGACACTTTTCTTTTGGGCTGCTGATCAAAGATCATTATGTTTACCATTACAGAGTCATACCTAGTGGCTTCAGAAAAAAAATAAAACATATATATGAGCTTATGAGGCCTCAACCCGTGGAGTGCAACATGGTTTAAACTTAGATTGCCACCTTTTGTCAGTGCCTATTTAGGCTCCAAATGGAAAATTTTTTCATTATGTATCCTTCGCTAAATTTTCTTTCTTTTACATTTGGAGTCTTTATTATGAAGGGCACCCAGGTTCCATCTGGGTAGCTGTACGTCTGTCTGGAGCATTGATCACTACAGGAATTTTCTTCTGGCAGCATTCATAAACTATTCTCATTTGTTATCATATGTAACATCTTTCCTATAGAGTTATAAGAACCCGTAGAATTTCCATAAATCTCCTGATATTGTTGTGACAGGTGCCAATTACCAAGATGATTAGCCAGCGGGTGAAAAATTTGGCAGCAGAGGTCAACTTAAAGATGTTGTTTGCACCCTCTACCATTGCAACGGTATAATCCAATGCTCAGGTGTTCTGCTGTAAATGAATCCCTTAATTTACAAAGGAGCACGTGGTTCTTTTTTCCATCGATGTAAACTCCCAAGGAGGTTTAAGTGATCGACAGGAAAACCTTGTTTGTCTAATAAGGCCAACTAAATAAAACATAAGTATATGTATTTGGTTGTGTCAATGTCATGGATAGTTATGGATGCATCTGAGTGATTGCAAAGCAATGATTTAGATAGACTAATTTCTTGAAATATCTTATAACGCATCAATACATATAGGCAATTTATTCACACCATGAAGGACAACATTGGTGAATTTCACATTCTTTACTACCTAGGTTGCATTCAAACCTGATCAACGTATACAAGGGTATCTCATAGAACAAGACTATTAGTCTATTATCACCTATCTACGTTATTGTTATAGTGATGCGCATCTCAGAAGCACAACAATTTTGAGACGTTTTTTTGATGTATGAATAAAGGAAGAGTGATTATTTCAGCTTAACACTGTTGTTTCTTGTTTGTAGATTGTTGGGCTTATCATTGGAGTAGTCTCTCCAATACGAAAGCTAATGATTGGTGATGGTGCTCCTCTTCGTGTGATGGAGAGTTCTGCATCTATTCTGGGGTATGAATTCTACCGTATACTTAATTTATCTTCTGCTACTCAGAGACATGATTTGATTTTAGTATAGCACATTTTCGGTTTGGCTCTAGTTCGTCATCTTCTGATTACCATATTTGCAACATGAAGGCAAATGTCTTTCACCTTTTTGCGTGCTTGCCTCAGGAAAAAAAAAACGAATTGCTCCTAAAAGAGGGCCAACGTAGAAAATCTTAAAGTTTGACACACCATCAAATGACCTCTAAATTTATCCAAAAATAAAAATACAAAGTGCTCCCTTTCGATCGTGGGAAAATATGATCCATACAGAAATCTTAAATGCAAGAGCCGGTTGGTTGCATCCATGACCATTTGCTGGAGGCTGCTAGGAGCTTTCTTCTCAAATACCATCCGAAGTTACAAAAAAGTTCAGCCAATGAGCATTTCTCCATAGTAGCAGCACCAATGTTACTCAAATGTTATAATTAATGGCTTTTATTCTTCTCCAATATCTTTAATGTTTAGCATATTCATGATTTCTAGTCTTTTCCATGTCTTACCAATGCAGGGAGGCAGCAATCCCATCCATGACACTGATTGTGGGAGCAAACTTACTTAAGGGTAACTTTTATGCCTATTTCCATTTTCTGTCTTTCTTACATCTCGACACATTTCTAGCCTGTCAAAGTTGTCAATAGCAGGTTTTTTCTTCTCTAGCTCTAAACTTCCAATATTAATTTTGTTTCTTCTACCAGGTTTAAGGAGCTCAGGGTTGAACATGTGGCTCATTATAGGGATTTTAGTAGTTCGATATATTGCTTTGCCTCTATTGGGTGTTGCTGTCGTTAAAGCAGCATACCATTTTGGGTTGGTGGGAACAGATCCATTGTATCAGTTTGTTCTCATGCTTCAATATGCACTTCCTTCTGCAATGGCCATTGGTAAGATTATTTTTCCCAATGATTCAGAACACTCCTCAATCGACAACAACCACCGATAAGATTTGTTTGCTGTTTTCTTAGAAGCTAGACTTTTAATATTTTCAAAATCACTGCAGTATCAATTTCATGCTTACTAATAAAGTTAAAGAGAACACATCTCACAAATTCAAATTTCCAAAGCCCAAGTAGCCTTAGTCACATTACCGATCTGATTTTTGTTTTAGCTTGCTTAATTATTTCTGCAATTTTGGCAGGTACCATTACCCAGTTGTTTGAGGTTGGTGAGAGTGAATGCTCTGTTATCATGCTATGGATTTATGCTGTGGCATCGCTCTCTCTCACACTCTGGGCAACCTACTTTATGTGGCTGGTGTCTTGATTTTTTATTTTTTCATATATACACACATAACACCTATAAATACATATGCGCAATATATATATAGCTGGAGTGTGTGTATGCGTGTGCTTGTGTTGAAGTATGTGTACGTGTGTGCAGCTATATTGTGGAGTGTGAGTTGAGTTTGTGAAATTTGGGACGAAAATATACTCATAAACTCAAAAATTTAGCTGATTTATTTTATATACATATATATATACCGAAATGTTTCCATCCAGTTTTGTTGCCTTGAAAAGTTGAGGAATGTATTCTTCTTTTGATTCTATATGTTCTGTGTGTTTCGCTCATGGCATCTCAAATAGTAGTTTTGGTGCATTTTAATACAATGAATTAAAATACTGGCAGGCAATGGTACCAAAGGCAAACGTTAAGCATAGTAACTAAGGGTGGTAGTTTTGGACTCCACACGCTAACATCATTCAAAATCAATAAAAAATTAGTGAGTCAAAATTGACTAATTTTAGGTATGAAACCGAAAATTACGTGATTTTTTAACATGAACAATAAATGAGTCATGTTAGTACCTAACATAAATAATCTAAAATTTACATGATAAACATATTTAATTTATATATATAAACAGAATGTCGATTTTTGTAATTTTTCTCACATATTGACATGAATTATTATAAATAATGGAATATTTTTTTGCTTGCTTGTACTATTACTTAAACTCAAATAGATTTTTAGCTAGTGCAAAATTTATGAGTGGGATTTTAGTGCTAGATTTTTAATTTTTGGGTTATGTAGGTCAACATGAGTACCACACAATAATAAAAAGGTTAGCTAAGTATCGAGACATCTAAGATGACTAGCAATGCACACGCGCGTTGCACGTGAAAAAAATTTAGTTCACTAATTTGTTATTAAATTTATTAGAAATACAAAGTTGATGAGTAATAAAATTGAATTATTTTTTGTAAAGATAAGTGAATAATTAAAATACCAAGAAAAAAGTCACTTAATCGGTTAACCTCAAAATTTGATAAATTTCAGCCAATAAATGATAAAAATACTCTAAAAATGGTACATAGTAATTAACGTTGTTTTTTTTTTTGTATGGTATCTAACTTTAACTATTTTTTTAAATATTTTTTCATATAGTTAGAATAACGAATTTTTGGAATAACGAATTTTTATTTATAATGCTATAACAGAATATGAGCAATGAAAAATTAAGTTTACTAAATTTGATTACAGAGTATTAAGGTTTGAATCGATTCCAATGGTTTTTTTACAAAATTTAAAAATAGATTTGAGATTGTTTGACTGTAAATTAATTTTCTATTCTTGTTTATTCATTGATCATAAACAGATTTTTATTAAATGAATTTGTTTATGTGAACTCTGCAAATTGCAGTTTTAGTCATTTCTAATTCGTAAGTGCTTTTAAAGTGTTAGTATGTTTTTTCTATAACAATTTTTTTTTTGGATTCTGTTAATTAATTTTTTATGTGGTGCTTGCCATGTTATGTTAGATATTTTTATGTTAACCACATTTGTGATCCTTGAAGCCCTGTTTATGATTTATTGTGTAGAATTTTCTCGTTCACGATTCACGTTTCTATTTACTGTTCTCTTAGACTTGTTAATATAATTTTTAGAAGATTTATGTGTGAATGATTGAAGAGAAAAAAAGAAGCAAATCATGTCTTAAGTAGTTTTTGCATAGTTTCTATGTGACACATTCTTTATTAACGGGTCATCCTTTTGACTTTCAAGCTATTTTTTCTCCATTTTAGGTTTTATTTGGATTTAATTTATTTATTATTGGATTGATTGTTGGTCTCAGTAAATGTCTGCATAATTTCTATGTGGCATCTTGTTTATTAACTGGTCATGCTTTTGACTTTCAAGCTGTTTTTTCTCCATTTTTAAGTTTTATTTGAATTTAATTTATTTATTTTTGGATTGATTATTGGTCTAAATAAATGTTGGAATTTACCATAAATTCAAAAATTAAGAATAATTAGGTCAGTATTATTGGAGATTTGAACAAGCTTTCAAAATATTAGTTATATGAGCAATGAAAAATTGGATTCACGATAGGTTGTAAAAAAACAAAGAAATACTAACATAGAAAATTTTAACATATACATAGAAATTAATAAACTAAAACATAAGAATTAATAAACTAACCTCAATTATGCCGAATACTCGACCTGCCACACCAATTTAATAAACTAAAACATAAGAATTAATAAACTAACCTCAATTATTATGCCGAATACTTGAGTTGCCACACCAATCTTTTAGAAAGTTACTTGACAATAAATTAAGAAAAATTTAGTACCACAGAACATAGGAATTAACGTAAATATAAGAATTAATTAACTAAAACATAAGAATTGATAAACTAACCTCAATTATGCCGAAAACTCCAACTTCGACTTCGTTGAGTTTGTCACAGAAGAGCATGAGACCATAGGACTTCAAATAAATGACTATGGTAAGTCAACTTCTAACTCTAACGTGAATGGAAGAAAAAATTTGTTCGATAACTTTATTGGAAAGTTTGATTACATGTGGTATTGGAATCCTATCTAATATGTATATATAAAGGAATTCAAAATATTTTAGAAATCTAATATGTAGGAAAGACAAAAAAATATATGTATATGTATCACCTAAAAATTACCAATATGTAATATTAGAATTCTAGTAGAATTTGTATAATTGAATGAAAATGAAAGAATGTATTGTCATAGGGATAAAATTTATGTATCAAGTCATAGAGATAAAATTATCTAGCTAAAATTTTGATAAAATTTATCTAGGTAATATTTTGATAAAGTTTATCTACTAAGTCATAGAGACAAAATTTACTTAACTAATATTTTGGAAGTCAACTAGGTATGAAAGACAGGAAAATATGTGGGTATATGGTAATAATTAAGGGTGAAATAGGAAATTAAAATTTTTTTACACATGCTGACATTTATAAGTAATATAGATTAATTAAATGGTTTAAGTTAAAATTAACATATATTTGACACATATAGAGAATAACACGAAACTATTACAATTTCATGACTCAATTGCCACGCTTATTAGTGACAACCCAGACTGCGCCAGAACTTTAAAATTCCACGAGACCAAAGTGGCAGATTGCTGTGATTTATCATAAAAACCACGGCACATTACCAGTAGAAATTTGAAAACCACAACACATTATCAGGCCAAAGTGGCACATTACTAGTAGAAATTTGAGAAGTATACCTGTAAAAAAAGACTACTAGAAAGTTGAGTAGTCAAGTTGGCCATCAGACGCCAATACCCTTAAAACTTGAATAAACTATTCTCAAATTGATTTTTTATTGATTTTTTAAAGTTTGAACTCAAAGGGAAATATCATTCAAGAAATCTACAAGTGATGTTGAATAACCCAATTCGACGCCCAATTCGACACTTAAGATATTTCACAATTTTTTTTCTGTAGTGCGTTAGGCAATGAACACTCAAAATTTCAAGTATCTCCTGCAAAAGTGTCAAAATTTTAAGCAGCTAGACGTCTATTTATCATAGAATATTATATGTGCTAGTAAAAAAGAATGTTTTAAACTTTTCATGACGGACCAATTTGTCCTTGATTAATCTTACACCCCAACTTTCCACAACCCACCACTGCCACAAATGTCATCGCCACCACTGCCCCACCGCCACTGCCATTGCCATCGCCACCGCCTTCACCATAGCCGCTGCCCCAATCACCACAAACACCACTACTCCCTCACCTTACCACACCACCACCACAACCAATCCCCACTGTCCTGGTACACCAACCCACCTTCATTACTGCTTTTCATCATCCTCAACTACCACCTCATCATTGTTACCACAATTCTTCTGTCATCATCACCACCATTCAATAGCTTGCCACCGTCGCATTAGTGTCATCACTACCAACCAACCATCATTACCACTACCATGACCACCATCACCGCAAAAGCACCACCACTATCATCATCCCCAACACTACAATCAACCTATACCCTAAACCACGATCACCACCACCCTGTTGTTGTGCCATCATCACTCCCTACCACTGTCATTGTAACCATTATTACCCATTACCACCTCATCAAATTATTACAACTCTAATGAAACTACCATTGTCATCCTACCACCACCACCCCATCACATTTTAGCCACCAGTCCATCTCACCACTATCATCCCCCACCACCTAATTGATCCTACACCAAATTTGTCATTGTCACCACCACCACTAGCCTAACCACTACCACCCCATAAGAACCACCATGTTTGTTACATGAAGGTAGTGGTGGGGGTAATAGTTGTGATGGTGGGGATTGGTAGCAATAGTAGGAGGTGGTGGTAGTGGTCATGGGGTAGTGATGGTAACTGTGCGTGCAAGATCCTGCACAATATAAAAACGAGAACAGATCTCTCCCTTGGTGAACTCGAGTGAGCCGGTTGAGTGACCACAACACGCTGCTTAGAATAGCCTGCGAGTCCGATGGTAACCTGGAACGGCAATGGGAGACCCTGGGAACGGAAGAACGATCCAGTAAGGCTGAAAGAGTTCCTGAAACAAAGAAGAACAAGTTAGAAGGGCGCCGGAGTGTTTTCGGCGTATCCCCTCCTACGATCTATCAGTCTTTGAGAAAGAGAGAGGAAGGAGAAAACACTAAGTGTGTATTGTAGTAAAGAGTTTTATTGTTGCATACCCGTCTTGCCTTTTGCAATGAGTTATTTATACCTCAAAAGCTCATGATTGCTGTCAGTGTGGTCAGTAGATGATCATTAGGTACAGGCAGTGTGTGCACTGATTCTGATGAGGAATGTCTTCTCTTCTTAACTGCTCGGGGTCCCGAGCAATCAATATTGTGCCATCGGGATGCCGCCGGTACAATGTACTCCTCTCGGGGA